ACAAGGTCAAGTCGTTCTATTTGACATCAAGTTCAATACAAAAGTAGCCAGGATAGATTACAGTCCCTCTTTCTGCAACTTAAAATTGAGCTTGTCACTAGGCGTGAATGATATGACAGAAACCAATGGTATTCTATTTATGACGAACTCGTGCAATTCTATAGGTAGGGCTCCGTGAATAAGAGAATGAAAGGTGCTTAAAGAAAAAATAAATTGCTCTTAATCCGACGACATCGTTCTGATTCTCTCAAGCAAAGCACCTGGCTTATTCACTAGTTTGATAGTTGATTGCTCTATTTTGTAAAATTACTTGTTTCCACTCAATACAGTTTAAACTCTGTTCAACATAACAGAAACTATGATCTTGAAATCAGTTGAATTTAAACTGATTCCTGGACACTAGCTCATATCCCTATTGTCTCTAGTCTTGTTGATTAGATAGAAAAATATATCCGTTCCGCAATTTAGGCATGTATTGAGTTTTTAATATAGGAAAAGCGAGTGGTCGTAAAACACCAACCACAATTCTAAATAGGTGAGGAACTATAGAAGAAATAGTATGTTTATGACTCTTCGAGAATAGTGCTGTAGTGAGAAGTGTTGTCCTATCTCTTGTAAGAGTTGCTGTTATTGTTGTCGTCAAATGTGCAAATCAGATAGTAAATTCTGCTTTTGTAATCATTTCTGCCAGTTTATACCAAGACCTCAATGATTTTTGCAATAGAAATAAATACAAGCAACTTTTTTTCGGTCAAGTTGTTGATTGACATAGATGATTGATTAGTTCGAATCTAAAAACCGTTCGTCGAGTATGATGAGGAGTGATCTTCTCCTTCATGGAATACTAGTATCGATATCGAGTTGAATTGTAAACTTGATATTGTTCTTCCTATAAATGTTGTTGTATAAACTTTCCAAGCTAGTAAGGAAAGTTTCAGCTATATATAGAGAATAATATCTACAGAAATGCAAATAATGATTCTGCAAGTAAGATTGTATATTCCTTGCTTTATTCTACACTTTGCCTTTTCGAATAGAAATTTGATTAGCATTCTATCAGTGAGGATTGTATGATATTCATTTTTGATAAAATAAAGGAATAAGAAGAATAAGGTTCGTGTGAAAAGGATGTAGAATGCCTATAGTAATCAGGTCTTTGAAGCCTTGGGCAATTTGTAACGATTAGGTATGTCATGAAATAAACTTACACTAACCATTTTGTTTCAACAGCCTACTTCTTACTTTATGGTGTTCAAATACAGGTCATGCATATCAGTAGAATGGGTAAACAAAACAAAGTGCCATAAACGTTCTACTGTTACCAGTATGAGGTAATAGTCGGGAATATTTTTTCTACTAGTGACGACCAGAATATCGTTGATGTTTCTAGTGAGAATCAAAGTCAAGACTTTTTGCTCATAATACTATCTCTGTAGTCTATTGAACTAGAGAGACATTTCTTTCTTTTTTCAGTTTATATCTTTCATCATCTATTTTCTTTTCAAAGCAAATTGTTGTATTTTTTTGTTCAGCGAGTTGTATAAAAGTTGAAATGAAAGGAATCATTTTCTTCATCTTGTACTACATAACATTTCAACATGACGAGAGATTCAATAGTTTGTATCAGCAAGGTTACTTTGCTTCTTTTTGCAGCTCGTTTGTGACCAATCGTCTACAATCTCGTTGAATCTTCTTTTGAATCAGGTGATTCTGTGGTCTATGAATAGTATAGTTTATCGCTGTCATACTTTTTTTCAATAAAAGTTCAGTTTTTAGTGTTCAGTAATTGTAACTTTCTTGAAAAGATAAGATAACACGATGATGCCTACTCTCCGACCAGTCAATAGAAACAAGCAATAGACTTTTAACACAGTATCTTTATCAAAAAAAATAATGATTCTATGACGCAAGTTGAGCTTGGTACCAAGGCAGTAAAAGGAGAACGTGCTCCACCAATATTGATAGGAATCATTGGATTCAAACAAAGCTTTATTGAATTCCGTACAGATACAAGAATAGTGGATGCTGATTGATTTATGCTCATCCATAGTAACATGTTCTCAATATTCTAGAAACACATTGTCATTCAATATGAAATTGAATCCACAGATGTACCAAAATTGAATTATGGTCAACGGCTTGCCCTATTGTTGCACACAGCATACAAATATCAAGGGAAACATTGATGCTTTGTTGTAATTCGGATTCTTACCCAGTGATTCTCGCATGAATTGATCTTCGACTTGATTTTAAGTGATCCAAATAATAGTCTGTAAATCATCCTTTTAGAGTAAAGACTAAATTATTTTAGACAATTCGAGATAATCTTGGACAATTCGATTTTGGATCAAGCATACAGGGTGCCTAAAGACCACATAGAACACTGCTTCGAATACAAAGGCTCTGTACATACAACAGCAAGATTTCAAGTGCAAAGGTACAAAGTCTTTATCAACTTGACAGCTACTAGTTAGTAAAGTATCAATTCTACCTTAAAGAAGCCATCTTATACAAACACTATCTAACAGAAACTCTATTGGATAACCCAATGTCCACATAATGACAATTCAACCAACTCTCTCTTAGATACCCCTAAAAAATAACAACGTATATTAGTCTTGCTATCAAACAATTGATTTTGAATGGAAACGTTGATTCAACTTTTTGTGCATCGACTTGTGCCGTTATCTTGTCTAACACATTGACTCCATTCATTACTAAGGCTATATTTTAATAGACAACTTTGAACGTTTCTAACAAGCAACGCATTAAAATTTAAATACTTGAAATAAACTGACATCTGATTCCTGATTCTTCTCTAGGAAACGAATATAGAGTACCCAGCAATGGCTGGTTGGAACGAAATGATACAACTAAAAGTACTTTAAAACAAGTAATTATGAATTGAATCAAATACAGTTTGACATATTTATATCTGAACAAACAACTAGTTAATATCAAAATATATAAACTAGTAGTAACATATTCGTGGCGCTGCAAAGGTATAATGCGATTCATCGCTTGAGTAGATTCGCGAAGCTATCTAGGATGAGATGATCAACGAAAACGTATCCATTATCGCAAATAGAGTGCAAGTATCGCGGGGGAATAATTGGACACTCAAACACTACCAAGTTTTTCTCAAACCAAGTCTTCATCTCCCTAGTCTTCTGTATCTTTAGTAATAATACTACTATTAGTACTATATGGCAAATCGTTTTTCTCGGGATAAGGACTAACTCGTTCGATAGATTCAGTATAATCTCTAAGAATTCAAAAGTTGAATCAACCATAGAGGACATTTCACTAGCTTATGAAACAGAATTTCGTCTTGATGAGATATTCGACCAGTAATCAACAAATGACCAACTCCTACACAAAAAGTCATTTTAAATGAGCAGTATCAAGAAATATCTTACTTTCTTTCCAATGAACTGTAAATCATTGAATTCAGTATACAATTCAAGTAATAAAAAACAGTAAACAGTTTCTAGATACGTTGAGAAGACCTTTTTTTACGTATCTACTAGAATAATTGTGCCATATCCCGTTGAGATTTAACTAGAAGTGGTAAGATTCAGAGTATTACTCTAAAGCAAGTGATTATTACTTCCTTCAATACAGCTGTAACCAGAATAGATTCATACATCACACTAAAATAAGATTCAAATTCAACTCATCAATAGAAACAAGGTATTGATAAGGCGTAAATACATTGTTATTTATCACTTGAATCAATTGTGGTAATAGTTCAAGATAAAGAGGTGGATGAAAACCACCAAAGGTTGCGAAAAGGTTCAAGCATCAAAGGATATACGAAAGGATCCTGAAATTAGAACATAGCTATTAGTTTGTGTTTTGCTGCTACTTGTGTAAAAATCACAGAATTGATTCTGCTTTTTGTGAGGATCAACCTCAAAATCTGTCAAACATAGGTCTGATATTTTAACCCTGTGAAGCCAGGGAAGTATTGATTTACTTCTTTTCCTTGAATTTCTTTCAACTGACCTTTCTTTATTCTTTCATTGAAAAGTATATACTATGTAAAACATAAATTTTTGTCCTTTATAACATTTTATAAGAATAAGGGAAAACAACCAGTAGGTCGTACTAGGACAACTTCAATTTCTAATCCCAATAGATAGTTTGTATAGAACTTCGACTGCAATCTAGTTGATTTTTTCTTTGAATTGACATCATCCCGCAGTCTTCGAATACTACTTTCTATCATCTTCATCCCTTTTCTTGTACAATGAGCATTCTATTGTTTTTCGAACATGTTACAACTCTAAAGAACAAGATGTTCACCATTCTACAATTACGCCGATAAAGAAGAGAAAGAACGAAATAGAAATATTATCTTATCCTTATCGATTAGATGACTAACTTCATATGAAGCTGGTCTTAGGGTTAAAGAAGTAAGATGGAAATGTTCTAGAGCACAAATAATCATAAGATGGTTTCAACATAAGAGCATTACAATATATCCACAAAGATCAGTAGTAGATTCAAGATCACAGAAAACAGTATGTTGTACACTTTCATGATGCTGCAAGTTCACTTGTCAAAGATTAATTGATTCAACTGACGAAATTGTCTCGAATTGATCACTTGGACTATCAATTGCCTATCCCTACAAATGCAACGCAACTATCAAGGGACAAAGAGATTCTATGTGATTGAGATTTCCAATGAAAAAAGCTTCTGAAAGGTTGTACGTCGACGTTTTCGGAAAAGAAATGACCACTAGTTGCTTCATCATACTATCATGAGATAACAAATAAGTTTGTTTTAAGAGTCAAAAGATGAAGATTAGTCTCAAACAGGTACAAGCAAAATCGAAAATCGACCAGTAAAGTAACTCACCCTATTTGTTGTTCAAAATCAGAACCGTATGTAGTTCTACTGATAGTAAGATACAGGAATAGTCGTAAGTGTGCGAATAATGCTTTTTTATTTTGTAAACTCGACAATATAATTTTCCTTTATGGTAAAAAATAGGTCAAATTCGTACTTTTATGACAAAAACTATTATTAATATTCCATATACTACTAACCAATACACTATGGCTTTTTCTTGTTGTCGTTATTGTTGTCTTTTTACAATTCCAAGTAACTAAAACAATGACAATTGTCCGCTCATGCCAACAACGAAGAAAACAGTAAAAGATAGAAGCAGGAATCATTCTCTTTGTAGAATTGTTGACTATGCCATACTGCACTAGGCTTGGGCTCATATTTGTTGTTGTTGCTGTTCTGGTTGAATTTCAAGTAGTGGCGAATGGTTTGATTTTGCTGTGATAATCGAATAATGTTTTAGGTTCGTGTCAATGTGCAAACCAATTTGTTCGTCTGCGTATGCTTTCTAGGAATTGTATACCAAAAGCTGCACTTTATCTTCAGAGTCAAACCAAAAACTCTAGTCGGACACGATGATATCAATGTGTACACTTGTGTAACATTGTAGAAGTTCAACCAATCCTTCATGAGTTTCTTTCAGAGCTACTTTGTATACTATCCAACCGCAAGCTGTTTGTACAAAATGTGAAGTCTCCTTTTCACTTTTTGACAGCTACAACTACCACTACTTTCAACAGCATGATCTTCAGTGTGTTGGGAAAAAAACAGATCAGCAGCACTCTTGAAAAGGCAAATACTGTTTCACACAAGTCGCATTGTTTCCCATTCACACCGTACTACTAATGTTACCCTCCTCTTCAACTATATAAGGACCAAAGACGATTTGCAATAGATGCCTTTCAGAAACAGCAGCAATACTGGCTTCAACACTATCACTCTTACGACTTACATATTCTTTTAGACAAATCTTCACTTTTGGTAAACCCAGTAATTCATAAAAACAAAGGCGTTTCTCAAAACGGACTAGTAGCTACAGTCGCTATCGTCAAAACATTTTATCAGGTGGACTTAACCATGATTTTCAGCAGTGTTTTTTTGCTTGCTTTATTTCATGGTTCCCAACAAGTTGAGTATATTTTGAACTGAAAACTTTTCCCTTGCTTTCAAAAAGCAAGTTTATTCAGCTTTCGTTTTCACTAACTGTCAAACCTTATGGGTGTCGTTTTCCATACTCGAATCAATAGAGAATTGATATAAAAGCACAACAATACAAACAACCATTGAAAATAAGCAATGATGGACTCAAGACTTTCCTATGCTATTCTGAGAAATGCCTGTTGCAGAGTTACAGACCGATTACTACATCTTGAAATGAGTCATATAGAAGACAAAAAACTAACATACAAAAAGTTAATCTGTGAACTGACCAAAACACTCAACTGAGAGTCTGACTGGTTTCTTGTTCTTGTAGAATATCTTTGAAATAATAGCCCCAAGCCTGATTCTCAGAATGTCAACAACAGACTACAGGACTTTCAACTGCTAATACATACGCAAAACTGCTCTGAAACAATTATCGATAGAAATAAACAAACTTGTGAGACAGCTAGTTGACTAAAGTACCAACACTCAACGACAGCTTAAACTCCTTTGTCTTTGTTCTCTTCTCGACAATGCTAATCTCAAATTTCCATACAAGACCACAAGTGAAATAACAACAAGTGTTGCATAAAGTATATAAACTCCAAAGAGCTAATAAAAGTTGTAAATACTAAAAAGAAACTACAGTCTACTTGGAACTCAGAGCACAGGAATCGATGGATTGTTATAAAAGAAACATTTGCAGAGCTTAAAACGAAACGTAGATAATAGAAATTCACTTGTCCAACTAAAACGAACGAAGAATTCGTTTTAGAAATTAAAGTCTGAAAAGTTTCACTAGTAAAGTTGAACCAGGTCCACAGACTTGACAACACTCACTGAGCCTTCCTGTCCATCAACAATCAACCCATTGTGTTCATTTCTAATTGGATTGTTATGCTTTGTATTCTCTCCTTCCTCTGGGGATATATTATTTTAAGTGACTAGTGAGTTTTATGAAAGAATATATTCCACTTGGAGATATGTAAAAAGGTTCTGGAACAATAAGTGTGCTAGATACAATCAATCTCACTTTCAGTATTGTTGTGAAACGAGAAGAACAGTGTCGTAACAAAGTTCCTCGCAACTCCCTAGCGACACTGTAGCCCTTTAACAGAGTTGAGTTTGATCAATCTTGTCTCTGCAAGGTAAATTTTAAACTACTTGTGACCCTATTTTGATAACAAATCAAGAACGGTTTTGCTACAACCAGCTTTTGACTCGTTTTCGATCTGAGAACCTTTCTTTGTTGGTCACTCAAAATTTAGGAAAACTGTTTAAAGGTGTAAAATGGTCATTTTCTAATTTCAATGACGTTAACTCTGTTTGGCTTGCAATGTGAGAACTAGAACCTTTCCTTCTATGCAAATTACGCTCAAGGAGCAATCTTTTTTCGATTACGAGTTATAAAGAAGAATAAATCGTATATTGAACTGTAGAATTGGAAAGTATACAGAGGACAGGACGATAATAAAAAACTGACCAAAGGTTGGGAATACTTTTGTCTATACACAAATTCGTGCATAAACTACTTACGATAAGGAGGATCGAACCTCAAACGTTTCAAGGGTCTTGGTTTGTTCTCTACCTAAAGAACTTTTTGAGAGTTTTGACTGGTATAACAACAGTAACAGTGGTGATGCTTTTGCTTCTCCTTGCACATGTATTTCAAGATTCATCTTTCTTTTTTACTTTGCCGAGAGGAGATGAAAGATTCTTATTTTTCCATTATTTCTCCGTTTATATTCCTTTCTTTTCACTAGTAGACGAAATTTATCTAATATATTTAAAAGAACAAGACCTTTACCAGTTTGGATAATCACAATATCAATTTGACTCTGCACAATTTTATTCTGCTGAATAATGCAAAGTTGAAAGAGACATTTTCCTTCCTTTTAGAGCAATTTGGATAAAACTATATCTTTTCTTCTTTATGTTTGACTTGTCCCTTATGGAAATGAACGTTTCTTGTATATATAGACAGTTTGTTTATGCAAAACTTTGAGTTGTCTTTGATTCTTGTTACAAATATCTAAAAAGAAGCCTCCACCATTGTACCCATCAGGTTATATTTCGCGAGAGTTTTCTGCCTAGTGTCTAACACGAATAACTTTTGTATTATGACTCATGCAACGAGCTGATGGATGAGAGAGTGGAAAAAGAGTAGGAGACGAGTGGAGCTAAACAAATCTTTCCTTGAATTTGCAGAGCTTTTAAAAGTTTTGTTTTCTTCGTACTGGAAGAAATAAGAGTTCGCTTGGAGTTATCCATGCCCTAAAGCAGCTTTGTGTTTTATATAGTTTGCTTTCTTATATATGTTCACAGTTTGTGGTTTTTACAAAGTTCAAGAGGAGGCAGTGAAAGCCTTTAAACCTAAGCAGTCATGTTTACCTTCAAAAACATCTCAACTATATAGTCGACTACATGGAAGAGACAATTCAACTATGATTTAAATGCTATGATGAAAAACGAGAAGAGAATCGATAGAATAGACTCAGTTGGACTGAATTGAACTTTTTTGAAAATAAGTTTTCTCTTAGCAGAATCCACAATATCAAATGTCACTATTGTCTGCAAGTATTTTCAGAGGAGAAACAGGAGTTGTTGACTCTTACAGAAATTGGATATTGAATATGCACTTGTGTGCAGGAGAATGATTCGATTAATACACTAGTGCAATCTTTCAAATATTTCGGAGATACCTTTAAACATGTTTCAAAACTAAAAGCTTTTCATTTGAAGGCTATTTTTAGTGTCAATTTGCAATATTGCAGAGTTGTAACAATGATTCAAAATGAATAGACTATACATACATACATGTTGAATACAACTAGAATGAAAAATATCCTTTCTTGTCCAAATACTTAGTAAAATGGTTACCGAAAGAATATCTCAAAACATTCTTCAAGTGTCTGCTATGTTGTCTTTCTAGTCTGTTGAAAAAAGACTAGTAACTCCTTTTACTATAATTCTCAAAGACTGAGACAGAAAAAGTTGTTTGTAGGTTTCACTTGGACTGTCCTTCCTATCTTTTGTTAACTGAATAGAAGAGAGTTTTCCTCGGTTTTAGAAAACAAACGAAGGGAAACG